AGCAACAAAATGTGTAGTGGCATATAATTCTAACTAACACTACAAAAGCACATGGAGATAAACTAGTCCGCCAGGATATTAGAGTTACTGTGCTCCGCATCAGAGAGCCTAACGAAAGCCGTTCTCGAGACCGTGACTCGTGAGCCATGGGAGACGAGTAAATAGAAAAATGAACCATTGATGCTTTTCATGAATCCAAAAAAATAAGGTTGGTGGCTTCTCTGGATTAATAAATTGTTTTAAAAAGGAATAATTACACAAATTAGAGCAAGATTTCTCATTGGCAAAATTGATGCTCTATTAAGCCACTAAAATAATCAGTTTTAAGCCCCTTTAGGCTTTTAGTTTTAGCTTTAGTATGGAAGTGGAGAGAGGGATTGAATATACATAGTATTGATTTAATGGGTGCGCAGTCATGAGTGGGCGGCTGCAGCATTTTTGTTGTTCAAAATAAGCGAGGAAAAGCAAAACCCTTCACAGTAATCAATTAGATTATTAGCAATGAAAAATAATTAAATAATTGGGTGATAATTTAATATCTAATAATTAATATTAGATAATAAATAATTAGTCAACAATAAAATTTTAATAAAATCATATTTAAATAGTTAAATATTTTAAATAATAATTAATCAAATAGCCCTACTACTCTATGATCAAAATCTCTTTTCATCATTCTTTCCACAATGGAAAGTCATTCCTCCATCTCCCTTTCAATACTTTACCCCATTAGTCTTTTTCACTCTAGAGCTTTAAGCATTGCATGGTTTGAGTAGAAAGCGGATTGAAGACTTGAAATGGAAAAAACATGTAATAAATAAAATGAAAGCAAACAACTTTTTACAGGAGCTTTTACAACGTCTAAGTAATATTTTTAGCGCCCCCTCCCCCCCATGGCCCAACCATCCCTCCGCCAATAGTCGGGTGATTATTGAGTGTTTCTTTTCCTCTTCATATCACCTCGACACATGCACCGGGTGATTATTAAGTGTTCCTTGTTCTCATCATATCATATCGACATTTACGCCTGATGATTATTGACTTCCTTGTAGTTCTATTTTTAGGCATGTGTGCCAACCAGGGGTGATTCCTTCCATTTCCTTCACCGTCGGATCTTCAGCTGAGTGGTTGTTGACTTTCCGAGTGATTATTGAGTCTTTCCTCACTCTTTCGCACTGTTTCGATCTTGTCATATGAGTATCGAGTCGTCCTCATTATTTCCAACAAATCCTTTTCCATTGATACTCCATGAATCTTGATTATCACCTCTAATACTCTTTGGAGAAGCCCAATTACCTGATTGCCGGATAAAAATGTCTGCTTTATCCTTTCCACTAGTGACATTCTTTTAGTCAATAGTGGCACCTGTAAGCATTTATTTTTTTTCAAACAAGATGATAGAGTTATCATTTGAGTGTTCCTTGTCCTCTTCATATAACCTCGGCATGTGCGATTATTGAGTGTTTCTTATTCTCTTCATGTCACATCGACATATGCATCAGGTGATTGTTGAGTGTTTCTTGTCCTCTTTGTATCACTCGGCACATGCATCGCGTGATTATTGAGTGTTTCTTGTCCTCTTTGTATCACTCGGCACATGCATCGCGTGATTGTTGAGTGTTCCTTATCCTCTTTATATCACCTCGGCATGTGCATCGGGTGATTGTTGAGTGTTTCTTATCCTTTTCATAGAAAATCGACATGTGCATCTGATGATTGTTGAGTGTTACTTATCCTCTTTGTATAACCTTGGCATGTGCACAGGTGATTATTGAGTGTTCCTTGTCCTCTTCATATCACATCGGCATATACACTGGATGATTGCAAAGTATTCCTTGTCCTCTTCGCATCACCTTAGTATATGTACTGGGTGATTGTTGAATGTTTCTTGTCCTCTTCGTATCACCTCGACATATGTGTCGGGTGATTGTTGAGTGTTCTTTATCCTTTTCAAATCACTACCTCGGCATGAGTGTCAGATGATTATTGAGTGTTTCTTATATTTTTCATATCACCTCGGTATGTGTACTGGGTGATTATTGAGTGTTCTTTATCCTCTCCGTATCACCTCAGTATGTGCGTTGGGTTATTATTGAGTGTTCATTATCCTTTTCATATCACCTCGGCACGTGCACCGGGTGATTATTGAGTGTTCATTATCCTCTTCGTAACACCTCGGCACATGCATTAGGTGATTGTTGAGTTTTCCTTATCCTTTTTGCATTACCTCGGCACATGCGCTGGTTGATTATTGAGTGTTCCTTGTCCTCTTCATATTACCTCAGCACATGCACCAGGTGATTGTTGAGTATTTTTCATCCTCTTCGTATCACCTCGATATATGCGCAGGTAATTATTGAGTGTTCCTGGTCCTCTTCATATCACATCTGCACTTATGTCAGGTGATTATTGAGTGTTTCTTATCCTCTTCATATAACCTCGGAATATACACCCGATAATTATTTAGCTCATTATTTGTTCTACTTTTAGGCATATGTGCCAACCAGAGGTGATTCCTATTATTCCTTCATTGTCGGATCTTCAGTCGAATGGTTGCTGACTTTCTTAGTGGCGCGAAGTTTTTTCTATCTCTTTCTCACTTTTTTTATCCGATCATGTGAGTATCGAGTCATCCTCATTCGCCCTTTCGATCTGGTCAGGGGAATGTTGGATTTTTTCTACCCTTCTGTCCCACTGTGATCGCCATAAATCTGTGGGTCCTTCAAAGAATTGTGCTAGTGGGGAACAAAATACAAATGATACGATCACACTATCTCGTAGGACAAGATGGTTTTAAGCTTTTACACTTAATACAAACAGGCCAAGGGAAGAGTAGATGGAAGTTTTGCCCATCTGATACATCCACTCGAACGAGATTTATTTGATGTGGGTATTGGTTTCCCACGGGCATAAGCCCCCATGGTTAATTGTATCTTAGGCCTCAGACTAAGAAGACTCACGATTAAGGGTGCTATAATATTCTCTTCTTAGTTTGGTACACAGAGGGATTCCTAGATTCTATTCCGAAGAAGAGAAACTCTTATCTTTATCTTTAATAATGATTAGACCTTTTTTAAACATATAAATATGTGATTAAAATGTTTAAAATATTAAAGATCGAATTTGTTATCCTATGAGTAATGACAGATTCATAATTTATCAAAGATTAGAAGAGACAAACTGAGGGGTGCATATTAATCTGCAGTGGCACCTACAAGCATTTGTTTTTTTTCAAACAAGATAACAAAGTTATCATTTGCTTCTCTTGCAAAAACTGTCAACAATTCAGCATTAAAGATATACTACCATATCATGCAAATCACAAATACCACCTAAAATTTTTAATATTTATTGGACTCAAAAAGTACCATTCATATTCCAGCTTCCACCGGCATCTGAACTAGGAAGTTTAGTCTGTTCTCATCCACTAGTTTCAGTATCACTTGACATGAGGGGCATGGAAGCTCTTTGTTCACCTGCGTTTGTTAATAGCTGTGCTAAGAACAGTGTTTAGACATTCAATCTGTCACAGAGTATGTATGATTTTATTGCTTTAATCAAGATTCAGCCTTCTCCTGGATCAAAAAGTTCGAATATTTAAAATTACTAAATAATTAAAAAAAATTGAAGTTTTATATTTACTTAATATTAAATGTTACACAAATAGAACATAATTTAATAAAGAAAAAAAAAATAGACATCATCATGTGAACGACGTGGTGGTACGTTAGTGTTAGTCGGCGACTGGTCAACTGCTTTATTTATTTATTTATTTATTTATTTGCCCTTTTACCTTTTCTTGCCTCGTTAAGTTTTGTCTTACATACTGACGAACGCGGATAGAAATTTTAGAAAAATAATTTTCATCTTAGAGACCGAAAACGTGTATAAAAATTAAATAAAAAAAAGACCTTTATAACTAGCATCTTACAAGTGGAGAAATGTGTATAACTTTTTTTTTATTATATCCGTATAGTGAGGCATACACGTAAGCTTTTAATATCTAAGGATTTGCACCATAGTCGTTGGCCTCATTGGCTAATTGCAGCTAGAAAATATCTTCATATCTAATGACTTTTAACGTATAACTAGATGACAAAATTTTAAGATAAATTTGTTTAAGAGTTTAAAAAAATAAAAAATTCAAAATAATATAATTCGTCGGCCTAGGAAACGATTGTTGAGAAATTATTCTAAGCGGACACCAGATCTAACTCTACATTCGGATGACACAATAACGATCGTCGATATCGGTACCAAGTACCGAGCTGGAGTTAGGGGTGTCAATTTTTGACACGACCCGAAACACGACCCGAATCCGACCAGGAAAAATCCAGGTTCGGGTCCGGGTTCGGGTTCAACAAATCAACCCGTTTTTAAAAATCGGGTCGAGTTCGGATTGACCCGAACCATTTTGACCGGATTTTGACCCGAAAAATCAAAGATTGATCTGATTTTGACCCGAAAACTAGCAATTTTAGGTCACTTCGGGTCATTTGTGTCGGGTCGGGTTGACCGGGACCCGAATCGGGTTAGGTTCGGGTCCGGAAACCTGACCCGTTTTTAAAATGGGTCGGATTCGAGTTGGCCCAAACAGTGTCGGGTTAGTTTCGGATTCGACCCGAACCCGACCCGTTGACCCGAATTGACACCCCTAGCTGCAGTACAATAAAAGGGTGACATGATATATTTTATTGGTCTCAGTACATAATTCGGTGTCTGCACAAAATAATTTTTCTGTTTTGACGGACGATTTGACAAGCCAAGTGGATGCTGATGTGGCGGCGATGACATGGATGGGTGATGATGTGGCCCACTAGCACGGTCGCTTAGCTCTCAAACGAATAAACTGCAGGAAAATTTGAAAAAAAAAGAAAGAAGAGTTTTTAGAATAGTTTATTTTAAAAGTTTGACCATAAATAAACACGGAGGAGTATATATAGCTACTTAGGGGGGTGGGAAGGAGAATTGAAGAGAGGAAATTAGCAGAGAGAGAAAGGATGGCGTTGATCTTTCGTCCAGAAATTTCAGCTGGCACAGGAGTAACAGCACTAGTAACGTTCTACCTCACAGCCTTGTTCCTCTTTCTCATACGCTTTAAACGCAGAAAAGGAAGTGAAAAGAAACAAACCCTTCCCCTCCCGCCAGGCCCGCACGGCCTGCCGATTCTCGGCAGCCTCCCTTTCCTCAACCCAAACCTGCACCAGTACTTCGCTGACCTCGCCCGATCCTACGGCCCAATCCTCAGCCTCCGCCTCGGCTCCAAACTCTGCGTCGTCGTCTCCTCCCCATCCGCCGCCCGCCAGATCTTCAAAGATCAAGACGCCGCCTTTGCAAACCACGCTACCCCGGCAGCAACCCTCGTCTACTTCCGCGGCTCAAACCTCGACTTATTGTGGTCCCCCTACGGCCCTCACTGGCGCATGCTGCGGAAAATAGCCGTGCACGAGATTCTCAGCACTACCGGCATCGAAGCCGTGGCGCCACTTCGCTGCCGGGAAATGCGGCGCACAGTGGAAGTTGTGAGCGCCAGAGCGAAGATGGGTGCGGCGGTGGATGTGCGTGAGACTACTTTTCTCACCGTGCTCAACATGATGACGAGCATGCTTTGGGGGGAGCAGGTGGGTGGCAGTAGCGAGGGGGCGGAGTTCCGGCGGGCGATTGAGGGAGCTGTAGACATCCTGATGGCACCCAACGTCGCGGATTTCTTTCCGGTGCTGGCGCCGCTCGACCCGCAGGGGTTAGGGCGCCGGACTAAGAAGCTCATGCTGTGGATTAATAAGTTCCTGGGGGAAATCGTCGAGAAGAAGAAGCGGATTATGGTGAGCGGTGAGAGGAGGAGAGACGTGCTGGAAGCGTTGCTGAACCTCGTCGAGAGTGGGAATTCACAGCCGCCGTTCAGCTTGGATGACCTCTGTAAATTGCTAGTGGTAAGACAGAAGATTTTCAACTGATTTAGCTAACTTTCGATCAATGGCTTGGTCAATAGTTGACTTTTTTATTTTTTATTTATTTTGGACTTTAAATAAAAAAAAAATATTCTTGTGAGGAAAATCGTTATTACTCCACGAGTTTTTACAATAATTTTAATATTAATTTCAAAATTAAAGAGTGCCATATGAATATATAATTTACATAAGGATATATATTGCATATGGAAACATCCTATAAAATTTTATTGTTCTTCAGGATAATTTTTTAGTCAAGATAAATATCTACAATAATAAGACAAGAAAGTCCAAATCAGTCTCTAATAATCTAAGTCTAAAATTTTTATTTTAATTAACAGATCACATATTTTAATTCTAAATATTTATAAATAAAAAAACTTTTTTTTATAAATTTCAACAAAACATTTTTTAAAAAGATAAAGACAATTTATTGAAATAAAAAACTTCAATTACTAATGTAACATGATTAATGATTTCTATTAAAAAACATAAAATACCTTAACATTAATTTTTATCTTAAAATAAAATTTTCGTTTCGTATGTTTTCTTTTTATTTATTATTATTATTGTTTTTTTTTTTAGTTTCTTATGTTGTCATGGGAAAGAAATTATCAAATTAGGTGAGGATATTTTAATTAAAATTTAATTCAGTTGAATTTTAAGACTTTTGAATTTTGTTTAAATTAGTATAATATTTGAGCTGATTGATTATATATGTATATACTAAAATTTTAAAACTCATCTTGTTTAGGATCCAATTTTTTCTCTCTTTTTTAAATTATATATCTTAAAAAACTTAAAACAAATGTATCCCGTAAGCTGTTGGCCTAATTTTTGTCCAATTTTTAGAAATAGGACAAAATCCAAACAAACTTGGATCTATTTACAATTTCATTTGAGCAACTTTCTTGTAAAATGGCATGATCTATATATCCTTTCAGGATCTTATTGGGGGCTCCGCAGACACCATTTCCACAGCTGTAGAATGGTCAATGGCGGAATTGCTAAGTAACCCGAAGAAGATGCGAACAGCCCAGCAAGAGCTTGATGCCGTCGTCGGAAAACACCGAATCGTTGAAGAGTCCGACATCCCTCAACTCCATTATTTATCCGCTGTCGTCAAAGAATCACTTCGTCTCCACCCACCACTTCCTCTGCTCATCCCGCACTGCCCCAGCACTCACTGCGTTGTCGGTGGCTTCTCCGTTCCCGCCGGCACCTCCGTCTTTGTCAACGTCTGGGCCATTCATAGAGATCCTCATTTGTGGGGGGAGGACGCAGAGGAGTTCAAGCCGGAGCGGTTCTTGGAAACCAGCAGGCAAAAAAGAGATTTTTATCTTGGCCGTCGGAAGGATGAGTTTTGCTACTTGCCGTTTGGGGCAGGGAGAAGAGCGTGCGTCGGGACGGCTATTGGGGAGAAGATGGTTATTTACATGGTAGCATCTCTGCTGCATTCGTTCGAATGGCGATTGCCGAAGGGTGCATCGCTAGAGCTTGGGGAGAAGTTTGGGGCTGTTTTAAGAAAAGTTGAGCAGCTCTTTGCCGTGCCGACGATGAGGTTGGATACGCCGGAGCTTTATCTCTAGTTGGGGATCATTCACAGCAGTAGATTGTAGAAGGCTTTACCACTAGAAAATTCAACTTTAAAATTTTGTATGTTTTGATTCGATGTTAGTAAAATATTACTCTATCATTTTTATATCAGAGATTTTGCGTTAAGCGTGTGAAGAGAAACAAGTTCATTCGTTGATTGGCTTAACAATGAGGTGAAATCCTTCAAGTTAGCATGAAAACAAGAAAGAAATTGCTCAACTCGACTCTCAGCACCGCAGCGCTGAGGTCTAGAGCATAGTGATGCTCCGCTCGCTACATTTGAGTCCACTCTAGAGAACCATGACATTGCAACCCACAACATCACAACGCTTTGCTCTCTATCTCAAGCCCAAGTCAGAGCGCTATAATGCTCTAGCATACAACATTGTGGTGCTTGTGCTGAAAAGAAACTGATTAGGGCCAATGTCGCTAAATCCCAACAATGGAAGCACTGCCTACCTGCAACCCTCCGATGAGCTCCTTGTCAAGCTAAACCTATAATATTGAGGTCTAAGATAGTAATACAATGCAACTAATCGACTCAATTAGAATTCACAAAAAACTAACAAATTATACAAAAGGAATTGGGTAGTTAGTAGTACTTAATTTATATTCCCTCATCCGAATGATCTAGTGGTTAGATTGCGAGCATGCTCCTAAGTTTGACAACCAATGAGGAGGAGGAGAATTTAGTGAGAATAAAATCAAATAGATCTCGAAGTTGCAATGTGGATGACAATAAGTTCTTTTGAGGATATGTGATCTTTGATGAAATGTTAAACAATTTCTTATTATGAGTAAATTAACAAATAGAATCAAATAAGATTAAAATAGCAAAGAAAGTGCACCGGAAGTTTTTGTGAAAAACTTCAAAACTGGGAAAGAAACCACGAACTACACCATACCAAAAAAACTATTATAAAAAAATTGGGGGAAATTGTATAGATCTTCTTAACATTCTTTTGTGGCCTTTATACTCTCACATTACACGTGAGCATATCCCCCATATGGTTTTAACACACATAATGCAAAAAAATCGTATTAATTACTGTATAAAAAAAAAATTTTTGTCTCGGTTGTTCCATAGTGCCTTGGTGTTGTACAAAAAAAAAAACTAAGTGGGTCTACAGCTCGACCATCGGAATTAAGATTTGAGTTAACATCACAACTCGATTGATCGACACAATTAAATTCCACAAACAACTAATACTTATGTATGTTTTATGTGGGATGCAAAATTGGATAGATAGAGATGGTCCTAATCGTTTGGTATGGAAGTAAAACATTGTAGCGAAACAACAAGAAAAAGAGAAATGTAGTGAAAAGTAAAGGACATCATAAATTAACATGAAAAAATTCAAAATCGGAAAAAGCCCACGGAGCCTCAGCACACCAAGAAATCACTATAAAAATTGAGAGAAATAAGTACATCTAACTCTGCTCTATCACTCTCTCCTTGCTTCTCTTCTATTTTACACTATTCTCTCTCTCTCAAAACAATTGAGAAAGTCAATATAATAACACCAAGGGACACCACCCTTGAGATCGAAAAGCAAGAAAGAAAAGTATTCAATCTACCTCGAAACGTTGTGGTGCCAGTTTAGAGGGTTGTTTCACTCAAACCTCTGATCCCAATCCATCTGACGTTGTTACGATGCTAAAACCCGCAGTGTTGAGACACAACACAGCGTTGCAGCGTCGAATCTAAAGCAGTACTGTTGTGCTTTTGCCCTTTGTCCTTTCTCCCAGCAAACTCTGCAACTCTAAGGCAGTCGAGTACACATCATATGGGCTCTGCATGGAAAAAAAACTTCCAAATGCAAAGCACCTGAACACAAGCACGGGGAGGGCCACAAAAAAAATGAGCATGATAAATTGACTTGAGTTCTGAGGCATCAGTAGAACTTGATTGATCAACATAATCAAATTCCACACAAAACTAACAATAACTAAGAAATTATCGCCTTAGAAAATAATTAAATGTGGTGTTGAAAGACCATGTTCATTGATATGGTGGTAAAACCAAATAATATATGTGGTAGTAACTACAAAGGGGATGCATTTTGCCTTTATTAGTTATCTAAAAACTATTTTCTTATTTTTGAACACTCATGGAGACTAGAGTACTTACTAAATATGTACAAAATGTCATTGTGGAGTAGCGATCATAAAGACTTTTTATTGAATCAAAGTTAAAATAGGAATGCAATATTAGAGCACTAGTAGTGATTAGAAAAAAAAAGTATAATTATTTCTTTGAGGTATCTCCTCACCCTTTTATTGAGCTGAAAGTGAATGTTTCTGTTCTTATGTATGGTTTACGATAAAGGCTATGCTCTGTCTTATGATGATGAGGTATTGAGCTGAGTTAATTTTGTAACTAAGGTAGCAATTAGGATCCTCAAAGCTATAGGTGTTATTTATTGACCCGACCCGATAATCCTACTCGAACATGACCGGAAAAAAAAAAAATTTAGTTCGGGTAAACTTGTTTAATAAATGGGTTGAGTTTGGGTATTAATTTTTTAATCCATTCAAAAAATTGGGTTAGGTCAAGTCAACCCCCCCCCCCCCCCCCCCCCCCCCCCCCCCCCCCCCAACCCTGAATTTGTCCTTATTTTACCCAAGTCCCCTTCGGATTAGTCGCCCCCACACTAACGCTCATTCGTGCGCACATTCACACTGTCATGTACACAATCCTTTCTTGAAATTGAGCATTCATGCACTCTCGCATCCACAGTCTTGCTCGTGCATGCAAAGTCCTACACGTAGCATTTGCTTGCCCTTACACTTTCACGCAGTCCACTGTCTGCCCTAGCCCGCAGTCTCACTTAAGTACTTTGCTCTTAATTTTCAGATCCATAATTTTCATGTCGGGTCTAGTCAACCTGATAACTCACCGATTCGGGTATGGGTATTAGTTCCTGACCCGTTTACAAAATTAGGATGGTTTGGGTCAACTGAATAAAATCCGAGTCAATTCCGAGTTCAACTCAAACCGACCCAAATTTTCCTTTTTGACATCCCCACTCAAAGGGTTATTAGGAGTGTTGATGTTAAGTTTGGTGGTTATAGGAGTAGGGGATAGTTCATAACTAAGCAAACCATATTTTTTAAGAAGGACAATGTTGTATGTAACCTAATTTAGAAAATAGCCTTACTTGATATTGTGGAATTTACTTCCTAAGAAGGTCGAGTTTGTGTCGAGCTCCTTCATATTTAATTATAAGGTTTGAGATAGAAATATCAATGTTACTTGTAATAAGCATGCAATGACGTCGTTGGCAGTGAAACATATATTATTGAAGTCATCAAGCGTTGATTCCACGTTTGTGTAGCAAGGCAACAATGATCAGAGGAACGTAATGACTAATGGAGAAACAAATATCAAAAGATCAAAGTCAGTGAATGGTGTTCGAAGGACCATAATTAAGCGACGATGGTTAAAAGAACAAGATTGAACTATCGTAATTGGGGGACTATGGTTAGGCAAAGATAGTCAAATCATTATAGTTACATGACAATGGTTGATGGATGACCATAATCGACTGATGATTGTCGGATTGCTACATTAAGGAAATAATGATTGAAGGAGCATAGTTGTGCATTTGTTGTTTAAGAACTGCAGTAGGTCGATGATTGCCGAAGGATCATAACTCGACAATGATGATTAGATGATCATAATGAGGTGATAATGATCAGAAGACTTTAGTCAAGCGCAAGTGGCTAGAAGACCATTGAATGACAATGTTGTTCGAATGATCGTAATTGGATGATGATAAATAGAGGACTGAAGTCAAAGGATGTTACATAAAATATATCAAGCAAAATTAAAAAGAAGCCATCTCCAAGCTAATGGAATTTGGATTCTCTAGTCCATTTTTTAGTACCACAGTGTTTATAACTTCATTGCATTCAGCACAAAATTGCAAAAGCTCAAATAAAAAATTTATTGATTTATTATTTTATCAATTTCAACGTTACCCAAAAAACCAATCATTACCTTGTAAGAATCTTCATAATATCGATTGACTCATAAAGATGAGTACAATAGCCAATTCTAGCACGATGAGATTACTTTTAAGAAATGAATCGAATACATTACTTCTAATTCATTAAGCCATAACAATATCATCTTGCAAAATTATAAGCACTATTAGGATCTCCAACATAAAGATTGAATCTTTTTTAATTTTTTTCCTATTTGAAATTCTATTTTTATTACAATATTGACGATGAGTACACTTCTAATAGTTTTTAGGCTTCGTTTGAGACAGCTTTCTTACTACTTCTTAAAACTATTCTTTAGTACAAAAAATTTAACTTTTATAATAAAAAGTTGCTTTAAGATGCACTAAGAAAGTCCTCCCAAGCGAAGCCTTGGGACAACTTTTTTATTGCTTTCCAAAACAGAGTTTTTAGTACAAAATTTTTATTTTTTATATTAAAACTCTATTTTAAAAAACAATAAAAAACCGGTGCTTCAAGGCTTATTTTTTATATTCCTGTCCGTCCAAATTGACACTGGATTCCTAAACCCCAATCCTTCCAACACTGATTTAATAGAGCCCATTGGGCCACCCGCTCATCCAATTCACAACAATAAGGCTGTTTGATTCAGTTCTTTTGTACAAAAATATCAGTAGTATATATCTAAGCTTATTTGTTATTGTTATTGTCATTAGCTACTAATATATACTCAATATTCATCTTGACAAAAACCTGTCCTTGGTGGAATATACACGATCAATGGTTGCATCATGCTATATTCGAATCAAGTGTCTCGATAAGATGAATCCAACGAGCCCAAGATCGTTGATTTCTTACACCATTTGGACACGAATGCTTGACATGCGCTCTATAATTGAGGTGATCATTATGGGTCGTCCGATGGAGCACTTCAAATCTACCCTAGATCTTTCCCATATTTATAGGACATATCACTCACAAAAAACTATGAATAAACCCCTTATTCTTCATTGAGAGAGGACCAAGCAAGAAAGGGAAGGAAGAGAGAAAAGAAAGAGAAATTAATGAATTATCTTGCCATCGAACTCCTCAACCATTGTCCGGCCATCGAAT